TCCCCCCCCCCTCCCTCCCCAACCCTTCGTTGCTCAGGACAACACATTGAGAGCAGACCTGTGCATGTGTGTGACAAGTGTGCGCGACAGGCAAGGTGGGGCGGTTGGGGGAGAGAGGCAGAGGGGTGGTGGTGTCAGAGGGTCAGACTGAGAGGGCTGGAGCAAGGGTGAAGGGAGGGAAAGTCTCAATGTTCTCAGGGAGTAGCAAGCAGAAGTTTCCAGCCATTGTCCACTCCCTCCTGTGCCCTCCTCGTCCGTCACTCCCTCCTGTTTAGCTTGTTGTCTAGGAGATAGGATGAAAATGTCATGAGTGTGTCCTTAGCCCTCTCTCCTGCTCCCCAAGAATTCGTTCCCCTGCTCCTCTTCCCCTGACCCACATCCAGCTCAGTTATAAAGAGGTCACCACACAATAGAGGTGGGCCAAGTGAGGGGAAGAGGGTTTCACCTGCCTCTCCCTGCCATGATGGTCATGGTGATGGTGATGATGATGATGTGGGTTCCAGTTGGTGCTGTTTTCGTTGTGGTGGGTGACCGTTGAACTGATACTGCTGCTGCTGCTGCTGTTGTTGTTGTTGTTTCGGTTGCACGGGGTCACCGGGAGGCTGTACTGGCGGTAAGGGCGAGTGGGGTGGACACGGGCTGGGGGCTGCGTGGGAGGCGGTGGCGGCTTGCGGAGGGCCGGGTGCAGGTGCTGGTATCTGCTGAGCTCTGACTCCTCGTCCACGTCAGTGTCGTCAATCAGCGGGATGTTGTGGATGAGGTCATTGATGAGGAACTCCGGGTGGGCCATGAAGTTGTGGATGGAGTTGCGGGATTCCGGTTTCTCCCGGCCCTCATACAGCGAACTACGGAATGCTTTCACCACTCGCATCTGATGAAAGGAAGGAAGATGAGAGAGAGAGAGGCCACAAGAAAGAGAGAGGAGAGTGTCAGACTAAGAAAGGGCAAAAAGACTTGGGAAACCCAGAGACAGACAGACCCACTGTCCTCCAAAGTGACAGAAAGACAGACAGACACTCAGGGCCAGGTGGTTACAATCAGTTTATACCAAATAATTTCTAATGGTCACACTGGTGTTTCAGTTTGTTTTGTTTTATTTGACCGAGAACTACTCTGAAACATGAAATAATCTTAGTGTCTGGATTAAACCAAAATGGGCAGTGGTTCTAAAGGAATATTTTTATACATGTGAAATACAATTACTTGCTTTGTTGGCAAACGTTTTATGGGAGGCTTGTCATCACTTTCATGCTGGTGTGATAAATATGAAGTTACAGCCAGCGACCAGTTAGTTTAGCTTAATTACTATAAAGACTGGAAACAGGTGGAAACAGCTAGTATATTAGAAAGTAACAATCTGTTCACCAGCAGTTTTGAAGCTCACTAATTAACAAGTTATAACTTCTCTGTTTAAAAATCAGTGGGGAAAAATTTTGTACATGTCAGACAAACAGCTTATTTTCAGGCACAACCCAACCTCAAGAGGGGCTGCTGGGTGGATTGTTTAGACACCTGGAACGAAGCTGTGGATGCTGTCGTTAGGTGATATGTGTGTTAAGCTTTAGGATGCTGAACACCCTCAACAGGTGGCTTGTGTTATATTTGGACAGAGCCAAGCAGCATTTTCCCCCCGCTTCCAGTTTTTATGCTAAAGCTAAGCTAACTGGCTTACAGCTAACTCTCAACTGTCTTTACTGAAAAATCTGAATGCCAAAAAGGGGACACATAATAACAAGGATAATAAAAATTACATGATAAAGCACAATTTTCACAGGATTGTTGTGTAAGAAGGTTAACAAGTGGTCCTGTTCAAGCAGGACAACTGCACATTTGAAGAAAATGTATCTGTTATCATTACATTAAAAAATGTTGTCGTAAATAATAACATTTATGACAGACAACATCTTTGCATGAGTTTGGTAATATCACCAACTTTAACGGCAGGTTTAACATTGTCATCTTGCTACTGCATTACTTCAGTACCAAGATGTATGTTTTTAAGTCTTGTCTCCTCCATAATGTTCTTTCAGGAGGGATTTTCCTCCTTTAGTTTGTACAAAGTGCATGATCCAATTCGAATGCATCATATTATTCTTGTTAGATATCATATATATTATTATTTCCTAAACTTTGTAATCATCTTATTGTAACCTTGATGACACAAATATCTTGACTAATTCAGTATCAACAGAGAGTCCACCTGATCCTGTATGTCTCCAACAGACAAAAGTGGAAAACAAAACAAAACAAGGTTGTAAAATGAGCTGCTAATGACATGTTTCTGTCAGTTCTCACACAGCAGTCAGAACTCAGAAGATGAGAGCATTCAGTAGCCACCATGACAAAGACCACAGAAGCTACAGCTTCACATCATACACACGTGCTGAATGTGTGTGTCGGGGTAGATACTGTGTTTGTGGGGAAAACACTCGTACCTCAACACACTGTATCACATGCAGGCACACACACAGGTGAGAGCGGCAGGTAGGCACAAATGGAGTAGAAGCAGGTTGTTAGTTTAATGTACAATAAAATAAGAAATTGGCAAGAACCTATAGCAGTGACCACCTACACACAGACTCACACACACATGCGTGTAGCAGCAGTGTCAACAGTTGAGTTGGTCCCACATCGTGCAGCTTAGAGGTTGACATCTGCATGCATAGAACAGTTGTCATGGGTGCTGTTTGTTAAAGAGAGCCAACATATCAACAGCTAAACTGTGAGTTAGTAAGTCAGCAGCTCTGCACACACACACACACACACACACACACACACACACACGTGAAAAATGTACTGCGGCCATACAGCAGTGAGAGACAGAGCAAAGAGACTGAAATGATGCTGATGCTGATGTTGAAGTAACTGCAGGATATAAAAAAAAAACAAGTCTTGCAAAACAGAAAGGTGGCATCACAGAAAATCAGCAAGTTAGAACAGAACAGGTTAGATTACTAGAAACAGAAGGTGATTGGTTGAAAAGTCGGAGTGAAGCTGGGGCATCAGCCCTGTCGCACATAGAGAGGCAGCCAGTTCATGCTGAATCAGATCTGTCTCACTTACACTCCCTTTCTGTCTCACACACACAGCTGAGTGTGGTCTGAGTAGACTTCAAGGTGTATTATGCAGTGTATGGTGTATGCGTGCATAAACACATTCCTTTGCCATGGCAGTTGGTCCATGCACCCTTCCCCCAAGCCCAAACAGAGAAAAAGAAGCAGCATGAGCTCAAAAGAAACAAGACAGTTCAGTGCAAATATACTGACAGGCACAGGCAGGCAGAGCCCTACATAGAGACAGTTTGGCCAAATGAGATCAACAGAGTGGAAGCTTCATGTCGACTGCAACACCGACTGGTGTCCAAACTGTGATTATGACAGGTGGATGGTCAGGCAGCTGAATGGAAGTCAATGCTGCAGCTGGCCAAACTAGAAGAAGCCTCTATATATGACTCTGGCATATATGATAGACAGACAGTCAGACAGAAGACAGACAGACAGTCAAGCAGTAGGTTCAGTGCTTATCTGTTTTTCCAAAGAGCCTGTCAGACAGTAGAAAAACACCTCATGCAGCCTAAGAAGGTTTCAGAATGTTACTTTCTCACTTCATCAGCTCTTAGTTTGTTTTCATTTTGTCCCCATGGAAAGAGTAAACTTTCGAGTATATAACGCCCAAAGTGTGACCAGAGAGGCCAAGAGGTCAGGGCACTGCTGTTACTTATCTCTCTCACCCACTTTCTTTCTTTCTCCCTCTCTCCCTGTTGGCTGTTTCAGCATTGCTTGATGGAAAAACGATGATGGTTAATGTACGAGAAGGAAAAGGTGCTGGAAGGTAGAGAGGCTGCTGTGTGCAAAAAAACTGCGATGAGAACAAACTGCAACATAAATAGAGGAAGAAGCTGTGAGGTAAGATGACTGGTTAATGGCTCCCATTTTTTACAGTGTGTCCCAACTCTGGGCTGCACTCACCCCTTGATATGTGATAACTAATCCATAGCAACACCTCAGCAACCCTTCCTCAATTCAATGCATAATCACCTCATATCCTACTCACATCGCATTCAAGGAGCAAAAACTGAGTGTGACATCTTTAAGTCTTCTTTTTGAATATGAAAGAACTTTAGCAAAGAATTGAGGAGCTGAGGATAGATTTGAGATTTGGCCTAGATATTCCTCATATCTTTCCTGACCAAAGTAAACTCTTATATGCTTCTTTTGTCTGAGCTTTACTATAGTTTTGAACTAGCTCAGTGTGAAATGAAAACAAACTGGATCCATAGATCACCAACTATAAGGTCTAGCATAGCTCAGGTGGATGAAAGCATGAAACAGAGGCATCTAATATTATATATTTACATATAATATTACATTGTTTTTGAAAACATTTTATGATAGATTTAGCTGTAAAGGCATAAAACTCAGGGAAGTGATAATACTGACATCTGGACTTATGGGGGCACAGTCTGAGGGCTGGGTCTGCTTTGCAAAGAACTCTGGGTGGTGGAGTATAGTAATGGACGAGCAGCAGTGTAGCAGGAGCAGTATATTTGCAGTATGTGTTTATTGTATGACAATTCCCATACGCTATCATCAGATTTCAGGCAATCATAGGAAAATACTTGAAGGTTAAGTCTGGTGATATTCTGTGTTTCCGGTACTGTAACCAAATCCCCTAAAATGACAAAACCCATCAATATATTAGTCCATCTTTTGATTCTTTTGACTTGCCTACTGTGGCACTCAGCCCCAAGCCTTTAAAAATGGGTCATAAATGTTCAAAAAAGGGTTAATAATTTCCTAACACAGCTGTCCACTGTAGTTTTTAACACATTTTTCTCAAACAGGAAGAAACTGTGCATTTTCTGAGAACAATCTGATGCACTAGTGAATTATTTATCTGCTGCAGGACAGTGTGTGTGGCAGAGTCAAAATAAAGGGACGTGTGTGTTCATGGTAGTGAAGGAACACGTTGACCAGTGATGCAGTGTAGCTCACCAATTTTTTTTCTTTTTAGCCATACTGCGTCTGCTCAGGAAGTTCACCCAGCCTCAGGAGCTGTTGATTCAGTTCTATAGGGGAATCATCGAGTCTGTTCTCTGCACTATGGCTCGGCAACCAAACAGGACAGGAACAGAATCCAGTAAACAGTCAGGACTGCGGAAAATATCATCTGTGCCAGCATGCCCTCCATGGAGGACCTGTACACCTCACAGGTCAAAAGGAGGGGAGAGAGGATTTCTGCAGACCCCTCACATCCTGGTCACAAACTGTTTGAAATCCTCCCCTCTAGACGGCGCTACAGGTCACTGTACAGAGACAGCTTCTTCCCCTGGGCCATTACACTGATGAACAGTGAGTCTATGTTTTGCTCTTTTAACTTGTATATATTCTGTATTTATTCAGACTTATTGTTGTGCACATTGGGGGCCATTGGGCTGGAGTCAAATTCCTTGTATATTTGATAATACTTGGCAATAAACTTTATGCTTATGCTTACTCATGGCAGTGCTGGTCCACCACTGTGGACCAAATGAAATATCTCAACAAATATTAGATGAATTCCCATGAAATCTTATACAGATGCTCATAGTTTACAGAAAGAGGATGATCATTGGTGATCCCCAGACTTTTCCTTTAGCGCCAACAGCAGGACGACATCAGCTACTGAATGTACTGCCAGGAAATTTTGTGCAGACATTCAAGTCCCCAACAGGATGGATTTTAATAACTTTGGTGTGTGTTATTTTCATCTAGCATTATTATCAGGTCAAAACTTGTATTTTCTCTAATACATCCAGATACTTGCACAACTAATGAGTCCCAACTTTACTTTGTCTTTAGTGCTAATTAGCGGTAATGCTAATACTTAACAACTATGATGGTGAATATTAAGCCTTTTAAACATCAGCATGGTACCATTGTCACTGAGTGTGTTAGCTTGCTGACAATAGCATTTAGCTTGAAGCTGTGCAGTGTACAGCCTCACAGAGCTGCTATCAAGCCGCTGGACTTTTAGCCTTGTTAATATGTTTTGCTCAACAATGGAACTCTGTGACACAGAGGAATAAGAGATATCAAGCTTTGCATTAGCCCTGCGATGGACTGGCGACCTGTCCAGGGTGTACCCCGCCTCTCGCCCGCAGCAGGCTGGGATTGGCTCCAGCCCCCCGTGACCCCGTTTGGGACTAAGCGGTTTAAAAAATGGATGGATGGATGGAAGTTTTGCATTACAGAGGCAATACTTGTTAGCAGGGTGCCTTCATCGTTGGTATTGGTCTTTCATGAAATTTACTGACAATAAAAATAAGTAGAATATCACCAGACATATCCTTTAAGCTCAGTGAAGTTGTATATGCTTTTATGTGGCTAGAAATGTGACACTATCTGAATTCTGTCTTTTTGTAAACTCCATCCTGAAATCTGAAGCAAAGGGAAAGAAGCGTACATTTTATCCATATAACATCAAGTGATTCAGAGAAGTAAACCTGGTTTGCATTAAACTTAAATTTAATACTTGTTGCTTCATATTCCCTCCTTGTCCTGTTTGTTTGTCTAAATCCATTTGTATTCTTATCAGGAACTGAACCACAAGAAAGTGACTTGAAATTGCAGTATGGATCATACTCCTTTTGAGTAACAGATCTGGGCACAGTGAGCTCTCTGAATTAAGGACAAATACTTGGAAAAAGTGAGCAATGAGCTAGCAGTAGTGGGACCTGAACACCAGTTTGACTGTAGATCACTCCCTCCACACCTTTGTCATAAAAGCTGTCTTTACTATCAGGCAGTCAGTGTTGCAGCATTGTTGTTCAATGTTATAAAATGATGGAGAAAAGAATCTGTTTCCAAAGTGCTTGAACAAAGCCCCAGAATATCTCCTAGTGTGTGTCACAACAGCAGATTGTCAGCAGCGCCGGCTCGGGCCTCTCTGTATCTACACCTATAGGTGATGGAGCAAGGTGGGAGGAAGGCAGCGTGGAATGGAAGAAGAGAAGCATGGACGTAAGAGAGCAAGCAAGGTAACAAGAAGCAACTGAGAAGGCAGATGAAAACAATCGAATGTAGAGACAAGCACAACCACACGCATGCATGCACACGATCATACACAAGCATTCAAGCACAGGTGCACGCACTCGCACGCTGACAGAAACGCCCAGAAGCCAAACCACGGAGCAAATGCACAGAGGTAAACCCACTGGCCAACAGACGCACAGAACTGACATACAAAGAAATAAAGAGGAAACATGAGGTATGGAAGCCACTCTAGTAAGGAGATGGGAGGATGACAAAAAGGGGTGAGGTGAAGGACAAAGTAAGACAAAAAAGAGAAAGATCAAAACAAATGAAGAGAAACCTACTAACGAAATCTTATCAGTACGCTACACAAGAGCCTGTATTTAGATCTGGTAAAATCTAAATACCTCTACAAAAGAACAACTCTACTTGTGAAGAACAATTAAAACACATTTCACAGAGTATTTCAGCAAACAGGGAACCTGTAATATATCATAAATATAAAAGAAAGAGGAGAGAACTGTGACGGGGGTAAAAAAAAAAACAAAAAAACAAGCAGACTGGACAGAGAGAAAAATCAGGACTTTTTGAAGACATCAGGGGACCAAACGTCTCACATCAGAGCTGAAAATACTGTTACAGAAATAGCCAGTTGACAACAATTGCAGCACCAAACAAAAGTGAGAGGAGCAGAAGAAGGAGAAAGAAAGCAAGACTGATAGAGCAAGAGGGAACTTTTTTAACTGTAGTCTTGGAAACAGCAGTGTGTTATGGGGCTTTTATACTCGAAGGTTTACAATTTAGAGAATTGCAAAAATCAAAGCCATTTGGTTATGAGCATGAATTCTACTGCAGTGAAATCTAATCATAGCATTTTCTACAGTATAATACAAGTCAGTATTCTTACAGCAATACTATATTCTCTGGGTTGTTAGAGAAAAGAAATGACTCCTTTACATTAGAAATGTTTACAGCAGGGGTCAATCATAGTAACCATGCTTGACCTCATTCACAGACAGGAAAAAACACACGGTGCAGGAGGAGCTGCCATTCGCTCTCTGAACTTTATGATGCACCTCTGCATCATACCTCTTGTCGGAGTAAAGTTAACTGTTTTCAGTGTTTCAATTCCTTCTTTTTGTTCTTTTGAATTTGCATCTCCTCCTTTCTGCTGGTTTCTTTCAGTGCTGCTCCATCTCTGCCAGGACACCTGAGACAGAGAGAGAACAGCAAGGCACCTCCTGCACCGACCAACACTCAACAACAAAACAAAGTCTGGATTGAGAATAGAACTGGATTTGGACCAGATCAGACCAGAACTACACAGCCGGTCGGGCCTGGGTGCTGTCTGAAGGGGAGAATAAGAAAAAAGAATAGAGGAGACATTGCACACACAGGCAGCGAGCGAGCCAGAGGGGACACAACCATGGAGAGTATTACTGCAGTCCACGTGCCGTGCAGCACAGTGTGTGTTTGTGTCTGTGAACGGGTGTGTGAGAGAGAGAGAGAAATTAAGTGCAAATGTGAATGCAGGTATACGTGTGTGTGTGTGTGTGTGTGTGTGTGTGTGTGTGTACATGCGTTCAGCAGACTCACTCCCAGGGGCTGGGCTGGTATTTGCTGTTGCGGTGGAGAGAGCTACATGAGAGGGGGTAGAGATAGTGTTTACGTCGTGCAGCTGACTGAGCACGGAGGAGCGCCGTCTCACCGCTCCCTGAAACGAACCACTTCGCTTGAATGTGCTCACTACCTCCATCTGCAGGACAGAGACAAAACAGCAGCACTCAGTAAGGGCAGGAGGGGCTGGTCTGAGCGTGCATGTGTGTGCAGTGGCCCCAGCAGAAATGTCCTTTTAGTCCTTTTGATGGCAAATGTGCATCAGTGATATGCACTGCAGCATTAAGGAATAGTTATAAATGTTTACTGTATGTTTCTATGGGGTCGTATGTGTGTGCTTGCATGTGTATTGGTTGTCTGCACACTCAGACCAAACCCTCTGTATGAAAAACTGACCACTTTAGGCAAAAACAGGCACTTCAGCAAAAAATCTGGACTGGCTCTGTAACACTGCTTTGGAGAATCTTCTTCATGCTGATGCTGTTTTGTTGTCTTAATGTCCATTCTCACACAAAGCAGCGTGAAAACCAACCAGTTAAAGTAATCAAACAAGTGAACAGTCTGTCTGCACAGCGTTGGCCTGTGAGTAGTAACACGCAAGTGCCGCTGCAGCGACACCCACACACATACACACAAACACACTCACAGCATTTATAATCTGCCACGATGCTTGGGAGCATCTAAAATAACCACTTCAAAGTTGGAGAAAGTCATTTCATGTTGTTTAAGCAGAACAGCTGTGTTGGAGAGAAAAACATTATGTTTGGCACAAGTCAGAAGAACAGCACAGACAGGATGAGAGAGACTTGGCTTTTGAAGAGTAAGAACCATTCAAATACAGTTTTTAGACTTTACTAAAACTGTTTGTCTGTCAGAGAAGTCAAAAATGCAGGATATCTCTTAAAAGAGTTCTTTCTTTCCGTAAGTCGCTTATGTTAGTTTGTGAAGGCCGTGATACTGGCAGTTTATTTAGGCAACAATATCCCCCCACAATAATTAGCATTATACCATAAATGTCTTGGTTAAAAAGTGCAAAATGTAGATATTCATATTCTAATTCTTATGTTTTTCATGGTACATACAGCGATATTGTCTTTGATTTTTGTGTATCCTGTTTTCATCATATTTGTCACATATGTGTAATTCACCCTAAACCTAAACAAACTGCTTGTATGTCATGACCACATGAAACTGGTTGTGGTTCTGGATATTGGTGTGCATTTGTGTGAGTGCATTCCTGTGAAACCCTTTTAGTTCTGGTATGTATCAGAGGTCCAGTCAGACAGTACCTGTGTCTGGATGCGGTTGAGGCCTCTGAACCAGAGGATCTGTCCGCGGCGCAGCTCTCTCTCAGCGCAGTCTATCTCCTCCTCATCCTCTGCCAGCTCCTCCCCCTCCTCCTCCCCAGGCTCCAGGCCTAGCCCTGCCTCCTTCAGACATGGCAGTCGCTCTGTTGGCACTGTGGCAATCACCTGGAAGCCAGGTATGTTGCATTATTATTTGCCTAAACGACACTTGTATTGTGCTATGTGACTAGCTTGTATGACCAGCTGTGAGCTTTTCCAATCATCAGACATGTGATGGTTGGATAAAGCCACATTATTTCAACTGTAGGTTTCAGCACAGAATAGAATAAATTAGAAGTGTTATCTAAGTTCTTGTCAAAATAGCTCCTTAGCCTCACCTCAGTGGAAATTCTAGATAAAACATACAGTCAGCTTACAGTTGCTCAGTGTGGTTTGACTCAGCAGGCTGAAGAGCTGCTTACCTGCCCCCAGAGCAGCTCTCCAACTCCCACAAACAGACACCAGAGCCACTGCTCTATGTTGAGAGGGGAGCAGCTGAAGGGTTTCCCTCCAAACTGCACGATCACGATCTGCAACAAAAACACAAGGAGGTTCATCATTACTGTGACACATACAAACACAGTGTGGTGGGAGAAGCCATCACTTGCACCATTTAGCTCTGCTGCTGCTGTACCAGCACAGTATGTGCTGTAAAAAAAACAACACCAGGATGTGTCAACATTCAGTACCTCTTTTAGTCTGTCACGATTCCAAGTAGGAAATACAAAGTGGCATTATTACTGTAATCTCTGCAGTCCCTAGAAGAGTTATATACTATGAGGTTGGGGTAATGGCTATCTTGATCACACCTGTCTTTTGACTTGCCTAACACAAGGTAAAACGTATGTATGTGTACACAGAGTATACTAGAAAGTGTTGGTATGTATAAAGCTGCACAGAGTAGAAGTTGGCCTTAAATGTATCAAAATTCTAAGAATGGGGTCATTTTACACATACAGTATTCTTATAGCCATGCATAAACATTCTTCAGTGTTAAGATTTGGTTTTAGCTTGAACATTTTTTTTAAAGGCAGGAAATATGCTTATTTATTATAAGTTAGATCAGGAGATCAATACCATTCTCATGTCAGTCCATTAAATATGAAATTGGAGCCAGGAGACTGTTAATTTAGCATGAAGACTGAAAATCGGGGAAACAGCTAGCCTGGTCCGGTCCAAAGGTAACAAAAATGACTACAAGCACCGCTAAACCCAACTAATTACCACATGTCTCATTAGAATAACATTAATGCAAAGCTGGAGCGTAAAAATTACATGTTGTAGTTTTGGTATTTGCTGTTTCTCTCTGGGCACGTTACTGTGTAATTAGAATGCTTAAGAGCTGCTGTTAAGCAGGAAACTACAAACATGTCTCCTAGTGACATGTTCATTCATATCTTGTTTTCTGTGACAAGCTACAATATCATGTACAACATTTGTACAGGTAGAGAGATTTCAGTTACATAGCAATATCTACACAAATTCTCCTACATTAACTAACAATCGCTACCACAAGCTATCAGTCATACCAGCAGTCAACACTAAGGTTGTGACACTAAAATATGAACATATCAAACTGAGAAAGGTTCTTCTTATTGCTTATGAATTCAACTTTTCATTTGTAAGAGGAAGAATTAACTTAAACACATCAATAACAAATTCATAAACTATAATAATTAGTATAATAGCATTCTGGTTAGTTTGAAAGAGCAATTGTGAAAACAAATGATAAAAACAAGCACCACTCGGAGAGCGAGAAAAATGATTAACTTTAACAGATTTCTAGGCAACCTACGGATGCTAGGCCTGATAGAGTGAGGAGAAATTTAATCTTGTGGCATATAGAAATGCTGATGGGGCACCAGACCAGGATGACAGATGGCGCACCACTAGTTACGAGTTTAGTCTAAAAGAAAATGGACCTATTGCTGCAGCCATGCAAAGGAACCTGTATCTCACACAACTATTGTGTGACATGAACATAAGTTGCCAAGATGGATCTGTAAAGATTTATGAGGACAATCAAGAATCAAGTTTGTCGCCAGAAGTGTGCCATACCTTACCTCTCCAAAAATGTAATCAAATGCATTATATCATTATTCATAACTTTTTGAGTTGTGCTGTGAACAAACCAACATACTCAGGTGAAAACTTGGCCTCCTTGGCAAAAGTGATAAAACTGAGTAATACAAAAAAAGAATTGGGACCACTCTCAAGAGAAATCCTTATATCATTTTAATCTATTTTACAGGAAACATTAACAGACGTTAACGCCTTAAAGTGAATTCAGATATGTTCTGCACACATAACCTTAGCCACATTGATCATAAAAATCATTCCTCTCTGCCTTGTGTCACTGTGTAAAAATGACATATTAAATGACTTTATAGAACTGGTCCGTATTAGTAATGTTCCAACATAACACACCCAGTTCTGTCCTTTCCAGTCTGCATCTTTAAACATGGCCCACAGTAACACTGTGCTCCTCAGAGGACATAGCGGCAGCATTTTACATAACAGCATGATCATTTATACCAGGAACAAGCCTGATCAGAGTGACACTATCTTCTTGACTCCAAACTGCACAGTCGTGAATCCCAGTGGGACTACAATATAGAGTGTATCACATGCAGTAATAATGCAGGAAGGAGGGACACCCTCTCTCATCTGTCTCAAGCTACTTTCCGTCTTCAGCTGTCTCCCATCTCTTCTCTTCCCAGCTCCTCTGAGCTGTTGTTGCTCTTGCACTCGAATCGCTGCCATCCCTCTTCAGCTCTCTTTTTCTCTTAATTCTCTCCAGACTGCTGCCAAACACCGAATAGCTTCGGAAAATATCCTTCTTCTTCTCACACTCTGCCATTGTTTGCTTCTCTAAGTTTTTGTGTACTCAGTGTTCCCTGCTCAATGGTGTGTACTCACATTAGGTTGACTGAACAAACAGTCCTCATGTGGCCATTACAGTTTGGTTTCTTAAATCTGGACTTGTGTTACCAGGTACAATCAGGTCACAGGATCATGTTCATTTTTTTGTACATTTACAGCCTAAGAAGGTCACCAAGACAGCTCAGGCCATTGCCAGAAACAGCACCCACTAAAACACAGTCCAGTCACCTAACAACTACAGTTACCTGGTTACATAAATTTACTCCATCTCTTTCCATCCTTTACACTTCAAATATCTGCTGCTTTGTAACCTACCTTTGACCTTAATGGTCTAATATTAAAATGTTACTGTTTCTTTATGCTATCTATATCTATACTGCTTATCCTCCAGAGGTCACAGGGGCTGGAGCCATTCTCAGCCGACACTGGGCGAGAGGCGGGGTACTCCCTGGACAGGTCACCAGTCTATCACAGGGATGACACATAAGGTGAATCCCAATTCCCTTATCATATTGTACCTCTGTCCTCAATCCTCACTCAATGCAGAAGTTATTCCGGCCCTCCACGATGAAGGACATCCAAAAGCTTTTATTTCTGCTTTGAGGTGCAAAGACTTAGGAGTGAGGAGGCTGCCTGGAGGAGCTATAACCGAGGACACACAAGTGTATCCTTTATGGATTGACATGCCCCTTTATTGGAAATCAATTTGTGATTGGATGATTCACATGAAGGATCAGAGACAAGGACGTCTCATGTCAGTTTCCTCCTCACATCTTATGTGGGTGGGACTAAGACACAAGGAAAAGACACAAGTGAGGGAAACATGGATGCAGTTAGTGGAATTGGGATTCACCCACAGAGACAGATAAACATTCACACCTACATATGGGCAGTTCAGAACTGCAAATCAACCTAAGCCAATGCCACACAGGCATAAGGAGAACATGCAAACTCTACACAGAAAGGCTCCATTCAGCCATGAGGTTCAAACCTATAACCTCCTTGCTGTGAGGCGACAATGCTAACCACTGCACCACCCTACAAAAAGCAAGCTTTTCTACTGACTGCCCAGTTTTTAAATTATTGTACAAGTCTCTGCCAAATTGTTGAGATGTCCACTTACAGTAAAAGTGCACTTTTGCATAGATTTGGCTGCATTAAAGTGAAATCATTTTTGTGCACTAGAGCAGTGCCTAAACCCTGAAACCCTTAACAGATAACAAACACAAAATATATTCAAGGCTGAATATTTTTTTAAAAATGACTAATTATCATATATAAATAAAACATTATACAATGTGCTATTGTATTGCATATTATCGACCGGTTTAAGAGCACAACTTCTCTTCCTCTTCCTCAACCTTGTGGTTTTCTACAAACCACTGCTGACTTGTATTCAAACACAACCTTCAATCTGGAGGCTGCACCCACAGTGTTCAGTGTCTGTTATTATGCTTACATGTTGCTTTGCTCAGTCATTATTATCAGTATCAGCAGTATCACCTTAGATTTACCCATTCTTTCACTGTGTATTGTCTCACTGGCCACTTTATTAGATACATCTACATTATACAATCTAATGCAATCAAGTACAACAGCTCTACCACATATTCTGCCTTAGAGAAGCTGTCAGCTGTCAATTTAACTGTCAGCTATCAAGGTTGTAGCAACTGTTGGTGGTGCATCATATTGAAATGTGCATCTAATATTCTTCCCCCCTGATATTTGTAAATGGGGTGGGCAAAATATTAAATCACCTCTCAATATAATGTGGTCCAGTTCAACACCACTGCAAACTACAACCTCAGTAATAAACACAGACTTAAAATAATACCTCTGATAATAAGTGGAATAATAATACTAATAATTGAATGGATTCCGATTAGATTTGGATACTGACAGTTCCTGTACCATGGCAATATTTAGTTTGAGTAAAACAATATTACAGTACTTTTACCATTAATGGACATTTCAACTCATTGGTAGAGCATGTACATTGTTCTGTTCAGTCTGGCCTCTGAAATGAACCTATAAAAAACTCAGGAGGCATCCGGCAATCAACACTGTACCATATAACTGCACACATAGTATAAGTACATCCTGACTGGTTTGATTCCAGTCAGGGACCTTTGTTGCATGTCATGCCTCTCTTTAACTTTGCACTTCATGTCTGTAGCTACACTACTAAAGAGTAAAGCTAATATGCAAAAAAACAAAAAAACTAAACACACACACACACACACACAAACAGCAACAATTCAAAATATTCTCAAACACTACAGAAAACCATTAAAAGGCATTACAGAATTACCTGTACGGCGAAGGTCCCCAGAACGATGGAGCAGAAGATGGGGTTGCCAAATATGCCGTCAAAGACATTCCTCTCTCCGTGGATCTTGCGAGCGTTGATCTCATTGAAAAGCTGCATGAGGACGAAGGTGTTGAAGATGATGGTATAGTGCTCAGAGGGAGGGGAGTGGAGCGGAGCGTTGCGGCCGCTGTCAATGTTAAACATGCGCTCACCTGGAAGGCGAACAGAGGGTAGCTTCTTAACACTGTAGCTGCTAAGATGGATGTGTACAACGCATGCCTGTGTCTCCACCTGTCCAGTTTCATTTTCTTTTATTCATTTGCTTTTTTTATAGCATTCAGAAATAAAACCAGAATCTGAATTTCACAGTAAATCTATCTAACAAAGCCAGTTATTTCAGGCTGTGTGTGTGTGCACCTATGAACAGCAGGGTGAAGATGATGACCAGCTGGTACGCTCCATGGCCCAGGATGTTCTTCATCATGGTCAGCGAGATGAGTGGGTTGTTCCGGCCGTAGGGTTTCCGTAGCAACAGGGCCTCAGTGGGTGGCTCAGTGGCCAGGGCCAGAGAAGCAAACGTGTCCATGATCAGATTCACCCACAGCATTTGCACTGCCTTCAGGGGGGAGTCCTGTGGAGACATTTGCAACCATGTTCAGCTGAGTCTGGCTCCACTAACCCCAACACTTGTGAGTATGAAAAGGTCGCTTCCCTCCATTTTCACAAGACTCTGACTCCCAACATTTTGTGTGTGCGTAAAATCATGAATTTGAGGCCGGTGTTTAAGTTATTCTGTTAATTTATCAGTCAGTTTAAATCATTAAGAGAACACACTGGTTTAATTTGTATAGTTTTATGTAGATGTGATCTGTGATTAAGCATGCGATTAGGTTTGTTAGAGACTTTTTAATTCTGTAAAAGCTGGTGCACTCATAGCTGTGTGTGTGTAGAGAAGGGCTGGTGCACTCATAGCTGTGTGTGTGTGTCCAGTAGTAACAGAGAAGTCTTAAATGATTGCTTTGTTTGTTACCATGTACTCTTTGAACGTTTGTATCGACCTAGATCACCCCATGGTAACCTGAGCAGGTGGAAGGTTCCACTTAGGGGCGGCTGATGCTACATTCAATATGAGAAGAACCAGAGAAACACTACTTATCACCAGTAGTTCATGCAATACTTCCAAATGGTAGGCAGTAGTTCGAACTTGTGGCCACAGCAGCGTCCTGTGATGTTTTACATATTTGCAGCAGTTTATTACCAAGTGAAAGCCAATGCCAACAGGGTATAGCTCCTATAAAGAATGAGGTGTATTGATGTTACTGGAACACTTCTGTTTAGTTTGTTAATATGTCTGTAGCTCTTTTCTCCAACTGGAAGATCTTGTCGCTGTCAGTAATTATTAATACCTCAGACTAAGAATTACAATTCAGATGGTGATGTGAATGGTTTTTTTACTGCAGCATATTGGTTGTTATTGACTGTAACATTTATTTCCATTGTAATAAGTCATGGACAGAATAAAAATATCAGTTTTAGGACTATTATGTCTTTTTTATGTAAGTAACTTTAGTCATTGTTGGGGCTTTTTTTCTTTACCTGGCTGAAGAGGATTTAGTTCTTTAATGTGTTTTCATCCCAGTACTTGACTGTAGCTGCTTCTTACAAGTTTGCTCTGCAGCATAAGTTACCATGGCAAGACAGCTTGGTTTAACCTCTGACCTTTGCAGTACAAACAACCTGATATATTAATACTTATAGCACTGTTCATATGTTTGGGGTCTCCTGAATTTTCCAGTTTTCATTTTGACGTCCAAGCAGTTCAAGTCCAGTATATAACCTTAAATCTAAGAAGTAAACTGCCAGAGGTGAAAAAAGTCACTAAAACCTAGAAATTGATGTAAATTAATTTAAACAAAAAACACAAACCTTTTTCAAAAATCAAGTAACAGGTTAACATCCATCTCTTCTGCTGCAGTGGAAGTAAATGAAGCCTTTAAAACTGATGCAAACAATTCCCTACAGGTGTCCCAACTTTTGTTGATGGAAAAGACTTACTACACCCTCTGAACAATTATTTGGGAAAAGGCCATGGACAAAGGAAGTCAGAGCTTTTCAGGGTTTAATCCTATAGTCGAATAATGAGCACCCACAAAAAAAGCACCTCCATATGTCAGTTTTGTGTCCACATGTCAGCACAGACTTGAAAGAGCAGAATCTGATTTGAGAGGGTAATCCTTGCCATGTGTGCGCTCATTTCTGCACTCTCAGATTTCTCCACAGGGTTTTGAGTGAAATTCTGTCAGCAGAAAAAGTTTTGAAAGTGCACAGAACAAGTTTCGAGTGCTATTCAGTTTGCAAATCAGAATTTGAGAGGGTGCAGGCACTGATTTATAAGAGCAGAAACAGATTTGAAAGCGAGGGAGGATCCTCACAGCTCACTCAAATTATCTGCTATGCTCATGATTCTCTCCTCCCCTCGCTCTCAAATCTCATTCTGCTCTAAGAAATATGTGCCTGCGCGCTCTCAAATGCTGAGCTGTGAACTGAGTAGTACTCAAAATGTGGTTTGTGTGCCCTCTAATGTTTTGGAGGAGATATACACCAGTCAGCCATAACATTATGACCACTGATAAGTGGAGTGAATAACATTATCTCATTACAGTGGCTCCTGTCAGTGTGTGGGGTATATTAGGCAGCAAGTGAACATTCAGTCCTCAAAGTCAATGTGTGGGAAGCAGGAAAAACTGTGATGGCTGACGACTGGGTCAGATCATCCCCCAGACTGCAGGTCTTGCTGGGTGTTCCTGGTCTGTAGTGGTTAGTACCAACAGTGTCTAAGGAAGGACAAACAGTGAACCAGTGACAGGGTCAAGGACACCCGAGGCTCACAGATGATGAGGTCGACCTACTGTAGATAGAACTTTAACGTTTCGTTCATCCTTTTCAAAAGACTCCATTTGGTTGAAAAGGACTAATACTGTACAAGTTTCGATGAAGAGAAGCTATAGTGGTGATATCACCCCTAGACTGGGGAGGTCACTGAATGTGTCTACAAAATTATTTCTAACTTGTCCTTGCAACCCAAATATACATAAAAAGAATTATAGCAGCCACTTGGTTTTAGCGGCTATCAGGTGAGTGATGTTAAAAGAAAAAAAAAGTGACCACATGTCTGTTGATGTCTGTGATTTTCTCTGCATACATGCTGTTTAATGTCATAAATTCCTCTGTGAATTATTGAGGCTTATTGGCAGATGGTGCAGTACTCCTTGTACATCTTATCATTCACACATTCCAGCCATTTATATTCATTTTCCCAGTCTCTTCTATAATTTTGCAACCTTTTCATTGTTTTTTGCCGGTGGACTAGGCTGCCAGGGTCATTTTTAAAATCCTGCCTGTCAGGTGTATCGCAGCAACACTGACAGAGCTTCTCGGTGGTCCTGAGTCACGCACAGTTCCATTGTAGCGCATGACAGACAGGCTGAGTCACGGGTACAGAACAGTTTCCTGCTATCATATACAAATCACCTCTAATATTTCTTCCCAATAGATTTGGACTGAAACAATTCTCAAAAATGCAGAACAAAGCACATCCTGTATCAGTTCAATACAGAACAGTTCTTTTAGTTTCCAATTACAGAATGATTCCATATTTTACGGGAAGGTTGGCAACCCTACTGTTGTATATGTGCTTCTTTTGCATATGTGTGTGTCAGCATGTATGTTTATTCATAAATCTATCTACCTGAGTGATGCAGGCCCCAGTGAAGGCCACTATGACAGCCACTATGTTGACCGTGAGCTGGAACTGCAGGAACTTGGAGATGCTATCGTAGACATTTCGTCCCCACATCACTGCTTTGACAATGCTGCTGAAGTTGTCATCAGTCAGGATGATGTCAGACGCCTCTTTAGCCACATCTGTTCCCGCAATACCCTGACAGAGATTGAGATAGAGAGAGGAGAAGACAGAGATTCATGCCATGATTCATGCAGTCAAGCATCCAAATTATTGTGGAGTGCTATTTTCTTAATATCATGTTGTCCTACATCCAAGTGCCACCACTTGACGTGAACAAAAGTTGCAGCCCAGATCAAATACATGCTATGAAAAAATGTTTTTGTTCCAAATCAAAAGAGGTTTTAAATATATTTATTATGCATTTATTATTTATAAGGTTAATATTTCTCCTGAAGTATACTTGAACATATCAGTTGTTTTAAATAACATTTAGAAAACTTTGTTGAAAACAAAGTGGGGTAAGAGAGAATTATTGTTTTTATGGTTGTGCATTAAGGAGCATTTGATCCCCATAATGGATTTATATACGGTGCTTCTGTGATTACTGTAACACATGAATGAGTAACTGCAGAAGGGCTTCAACACCAAATGCACTTTAATGGTGAATATGATAGCACGTTACCATGGCAAAGCCCACATCAGCTTTCTTCAGCGCTGGTCCGTCATTGGTTCCATCTCCTGTTACTGCCACCACCTGCCTCTGCTCCATAATGTTGCTGTCAATGATCCCTAGACACAGATATGATACAAAAATAAGCTCTAAGCGTGACTGAAAGAATATGTATGAGTGTTTGGGGTAATATGTAAACTTGAGACTCACCCTTGACCAGTGTGTGTTTGTCAGTTGGCGAGGACCGAGCCAACACGCGGAGTTTGGGCCAGATTTTGTCAATACGTTCCTGTTCAATCTGTCAGTTAGATGGGGGTGAAAAAGGGGGACAGAGTGTGTGAAGATGAGCAATAGCAAACCCATTAACCATTCCCTTCTTTCACTAGATGTCACTGTTGATCTGGAGCTAGATTTAAAAAAAGGACACAAAGACACCGAGAAACTGGCTCTTATGTAGTGCTCTCCTGCAATCAGTTTAACCAGACTGCACTTATTAATGATACAAACACAATGGAAATTTACACACAGCATTCGAACAGACATTTCACTTTCTGTAGAAAAGTGTAGCGTCACAGCACTAATCAGCAGCTATCCATAACATTCTGCAAAACTCTAATGATAAAGTTAAACAGGTTAAATGAAAGCAATGCCTGTGCAAGATGTGGCTTTAATAGTCTGCACTAACTGCAGTGGATATACTGTTGCCATTCAACTGAACAGGGGTTTACTGAAAAAAAAAAATCTTTAACTGGGACAATTTGCATGGATGTCCCTGAAATGCTGAGGTGAAATGTTTCTTTTCATTGTTAGTTTTTTGTTTTTAGCCATCAACATAGCTTACAGTGTAACAGTGGTGGAAAGTTGCTGTATAACAATAATAATTTGCTGAAAAGATAACTCCAAGAAAACCAGGAAAGGCTCTCCAATAAAGATGTTTTAAGAATGGTTTTTGTCCCAGAACTTCCTTAGTGCTTCTGAGAAACTTTAAGTATTTCTGAGAATCTTGTACTTTTGTATAAATATTCAACTACAGTTCAGAAGGAATTATTGTACTTTTTACTCCACTAAATTTAGTTGACAGCTGTAGTTACAAGTTATATTTATTTTTATAGTCTTTCCTTACAAGAACAATAAGTGTTTACTATACAACACATTATAGAGCAAACCCTTCAAACTTGTGACCCCTTATTTTTAAAAAAATAACAGTCGATATTTCACAAAAAAATGAAAAATTGAGGAACAGTCCGAAATAATATTATTGCTTATTGCGGGGTACTGAAGATTTATGTTGACATGGCCTGACACCCCCCTCCGGGCCAAATAGCAGGTAAACATCATTTAACTCATATACTGAGCTTCCATTCTTTGGCACATTAAATTGTGTATTATTGAATACAATATATAGTAACAGCTTGATTACAGCGAACATTTTTTTGCTAAACAGGTATTTTCATTTTTTGATACTCCAAATATATTTACCTATTAATATTTCATTCCCTAAAGTAAAATTTGAAATGCAGGACTTTTTGCTTATAATGTAGTATGTTTGTACTGTTGCAACTGGTACTTTTTACTTAAGTCTAATCTAGCATTTCAGTGCAATATTCACGATACCCAGTGCATTCTGTATCATTCCTGATGTGTAAGGAGAGATGTTAGTGTCTGGTGCAAATGTAAATTCTGAATAAACAGAGAACAAACCAAATTGCCTGGTTTTCTCTTCTAAAATAAAAGGAATTGCAGCATTTTTTGTCTCACATCACTGACTGTTGGTATAAAAATGCTTCTGCATTTTTCAGTACACATTTATTTACTTTAAATGTACACACAAAACTGGCCAAATCAGTGCAGTTATTAAGTAAACTCCTCCCACCACAAACATGGTTTTTAGCATCCATTTTTAGTTGACGTGATTAAGTGCAGCAATATAAAAAAATTTTTAAATGCAGTTTACTCTGCATGTAAATCGCTGGGGTCCCCAACTTACCTCTCCTTTCTCGTTCCTGATTCGTCGGTTGAAGTCTTTCCCCTCTAGACAGATAAAGTCATCCCCAGGATGGATGATGCCGCATTTGGTAGCAATGGCCCTGGCTGTGTTAATGTTGTCGCCAGTCACCATCCGCACCGTGATGCCTGCACGCTGGCACTTACAGATGGCCTCTGGCACCTTAGAGTTGACAGGGAAATTTGTTCACACAAAAACAGTCTGCTGATTATTTTTATATTTCAGATTATGGACCACACACACTCACCATACCAGCTGAAACTACAGCTAAGACACAGGCTCACGCTCCACAGAGCTTTACCTCAGGCCGCACAGGGTCCTCTATCCCAACCACAGTGATGCAGGTCAACTCCGTCACTATTTCTGCCTCGTTGTCCCAGTCTGGCTCCGGATTGCATGGTAGGTCACGATACCCAACGCAGATGGTCCTCAACCCCTCACATGCCATTGGCTCAATCACCTATTAATTAATTATTATTACAGATCTAGGTAGAAAACAAGGTCATGGTGTCACAGCCTGTTCATGTACATTCCAGTGTCTGATACATTAACACTGGATGAATCTGTTTGCATAGAACTTAAAGTTGATTTCTGATG